GGAGATCTTGAGCCTGAGAGGAATTCCAACAAGGATTATTGGACTAATAGCAATTCTGTATACTGGTACTAAAAGTGCTGTAAAGTGTGGTGGAAACCCGTTAAGCTTTTTTCCTGTTAGTTCAGGAGTGAGGCAAGGCTATGTCCTTGCACCAACACTTTTCAACACTTGCATGGACTGGCTACTGGGCAGAGCTACTGTTCAAAGTCATTGTGGAGCAACTCTGGGCAATATCAGGGTTACCGACCTTGACTTTTCTACTGATGTTGCTATTCTATCTGAGTTTTTGGAATCCTTAGTGGTGGCTCTTGATGCATTTAGAAATGAAGCCAAGCCCTTGGGGTCTAAAGGTCTCCTAGACCAAGACCAAGATCCAGGACTTTGGGGACTGTTCAGTCGGTACGTGCTTGCGGCGAGGACATTGAAGTCACAGAGAGCTTTACGTACCTTGGTAGTGTAGTTCATAACTCTGGGCTGTCAAACCAGGAAGTCAGCAGACAGATTGGCCTGGCAGTAGGGGTCATGAACTCTCTCGACAAGAGTATTTGGAGATGCCGGTACCAGTGCAGAAGGACCAAGCTGTGCGTCTTCAAGGCCCTGATAATGCCAGTTTTGCGATGGTAGTGAAACCTGGACATTATCCTGAGCCTTAGAATCCAGTCTTGATGCCTTTTGTAATAGGTCCTTGCGCCAGATCATGGGGTACTGTTGGCGGGACCATTTGTCCAAGCAACGGTTGCACCATGAGACTGGCACAGGACCTATTACGTGCACAATCTGTGATCGCCAACTCAGGTTATTTGGCCACCTGGCTCGCTTCCCTCAGAATGATCCTGCCCACCAAGTTGTCTCTGTTTGAGACAGTCCTAGGTAGAGGAGACCTGTGGGACGACCTAGGAAGTCGTGGCTTGGGTAGATCTATCAAACCTGTCCTGAGGAGCTTGAGATGGCCCGAATCCCAGCCTGGCGGCTTGCCATGAGGGACCATCTCGGGTACAAGCAAAGGATGGATGCGGCTATGAGCCCCCATCGGCATTAGCTCCATGATGATATGTGTGTGTGTGTGTGTGTGTGTGTGTGTGTGTGTGTGTGTGTGTGTGTACATGAAATTATAATGGAAAGAGATAGTGATGATTTTGGTATCAATGGATTCCTCTCACTCTATGCCATCAAAATATATAGAAATTATTGTGCAGATGCAGATGCAGGGGAGAGGATGAGAGGTACCTGGGAAATTGCTAAACAGAATATAAATAATGGTAGTTCTTTACAGTATGCACACACATGCCAGAGACTAAGTCCCCAACTCCATGTCAAAAAATTTATTCATCAATCTAAGTTGCCATGAATGGGTATACCCTTTGGGTACTGCCTGAGGGGAGGATTGATGGGGGGACTCTGCCCTCCAACACAGGAAAACAAAGAATTCTCCATGTATGCACGGTAGGAGAGAGCGTCGGACAAATTTGCCATCGGTCATACACTCTCTAGCCATGAATATGTGGAGGATTTTTTAAGTTCCGTTGTGGGGGATGGGATGCTCCAGCCCCACCATACAGGGATCACAGGAGGCACAATCCTCTACATGAATGGTGGCCAGGAATAGGATGCTGAGCATGGAAATGGCATCCTACCTGGAGCTGGCACTCTTCCAGTCATGGCTGCCAGACACTACATTCCACACTTGTTCAGCAATGGGAATAATGAAAAAGCCCTTTTCTAAATGCCAAATGAGTGTAATTGCCCTCTAAGTTGTCTGTGTGTCTTTTCCATCATCCCAGCCTTCAGCTCAAATGCTCACAATGGCTACTTTGCATCACCCAGCCTGCTGCCAAATTTTCCCTTGACTTCATGTCCACATTTTCATGACTTGATAGTCACGCATTCTGAATCGAAGGGGTTAATAGGACATATGTATATATGCGTCAAAGAAAATTGTATGACCTTTTGTGAATAATGCCTCTGGTATCACTAGGTTGAAGCCAGATCAAATTAGATTAACCCCAAGCCACTGGGGATGGCCTGTGGATAAATGCCATGCCCACTGTGTGTTTGATTTAGTGATTATTTTTACATATAAATGACTCCAAGTCTTCAATGAGTCAGGAATGGGTACTACCTGTCACACCTGTTTACTCTTTTCCTTGATTTTCAAAAATATTTTCTGATATTTAATTTTGCTGTTAATGACAGTAACACTATAATAATTATGATGTCTTTAAGAAAAATAACAGTATCAATATGGGTAGCATTAGTTGAAAAAAAAAAATCCTGCAACTCAAGGAAAGGAAAATCAGGTGAGGTCACAAGTTCTACCAATTGACTCCTTTGTGCCTAAGCAATTGCAGGGACATTTTATAAAACAATACACTGAACACATTTTCCTGGAGGCATTGGGTTCAGGGGATACTGACTAAAATTAAGAATTAAAGGGCTATCCACGACTTCCAGACCATTTGAAACCACTTTGGAAGGCAATCAGCTATGTGTCCTGAATGATAGTTTGAAGGTGCAGAATGGAAGATGTGTCCCTGACATTAAATAGTGCTTGATGTATACTCAGAGGTTCTCAATGGGAATTAGATCAAGAGAGTTTCCTAATCATGGCTGTAATAAAATTGTATCAGAAAATTCAAATCAGTTCATTACTAATTTTGCAATTTAACACTGTGCCCAATCCTAAATGTACATTCCATTCCCATGATATGAAAAGTAACCCCAAACCTATGAGCGAGTTGGGGTGTCTAACCTTCTGTAATGTCTAGCCAGGGATAGTGGGGTCACTACGTATCACTGCACTGGCAAGCACAAAGCTGGCCCCTTATCCGAAAACTAAACCACTTGCCAAAATGCAGTAATAAGAAATATGGAAAAATTGGCTATTTTTGCTCGACTCTAGAACATAATCATGTTACACCCTATGGTTTATTGGGACTTGCTTGATATAAAGAAGTGTGTCAAGTGAAAACTTCAACCAGCTAATGGTTTGGAAATTAGAGCACCAACTTGTTTTGCAATCATTCAGACCAATGCCGAGGGGGTATAAAGGGAGAGATCGATTTTGACCAAACTTACAACTTCGAAATAGAAAAAAACACAGAACTACACAAATTTTTGTCATGTTTGCCTTGAAGACAATCTATCGGTGGGTGTAATAGGCCATCAAACTACTTTCTAAGTATTAATGATTGTTGTAAAGTTATGACATTTTTGTCACAGACCAAATTTTTTCAACACAAATTTTGACTCCAAAGACGGATTCTGAGTGAAAAATAAGCTAATATTCAGGAAAGCAAATCGTCTGAACTTTATTTTGCTATATAGTGAATTTGCTGTATCTCAAATTGAACGGTCGGAAAACGCATATACATTTCAGAGACTGAAAATTGAGATACGTCAATTTTCAAAATTCCGGTCTGATGGATGCTAAGTTTTATTTTTAGACTTCAAGCTGTACTTTTTGATTGCTCTCATCAATTCACATCAAATAACGTCAAAAAGTTGACTTCATGATGTCATGGATTGATGTTAAAGGTGGCCCTTTTATGTATTTGAAGTGACACCACCTTTGCATGCATGAGCAATGCCAGATATCTACAGTACTCATGGTTATTTTTCATTTTCCTTTTGATAGCTAATTTTATACATTGGAAATTTAAGTGTTTATAGAGCATACTGTTCAAGTCGATGTTCAGCAGACCCATGGTAACTTAGTAGCTGCTGAGACTGACTGACTAGCTTACTAACTGGCTGCTGATATAATGACTGATTGACTAGACTGACTAAAATATCTGACTGACTGGCTAACTGACCAACTGACTCATTCACTCACTCACTCACCAGACTGACTACAGATTGACTAGTCTAGCAGGCTGGCTGGCTGGCTAGCTGGCTGACTTACTGACTGAATGACTGAGTGACTGAATGACAGAACAGATTTAACTGATTTACTGACTGACTAATTATCTTATTGTTTGGCTGATTGATTAGAATGGATAAATGACTGGCTATCTTACACATTTATTCATTGTTTTAGACATATGACTGATTTATATACTGACTGACTGACTGACTCAATGACTGAGGGACTTATAGGTTCTGAGTTAGTAGCTTACTATTCTCTATCCAATCGACTGACTGTCCAACAGACTGATTGACTGACTGTCTCGATGTGTGGCTAAATTTTTTATCGATTCAATGCATCTCTCTCTCATTCATTATAGGCTCACTGAGTGAATGTTGTTGGGTTGTCGATAAAATACCCTTTCTTTGTTTTTCCAAAATTACCCTTTCTTTG